CGAGCTTCTCCACATTTTTCTTCACTAAGGTTCGAACCCCTCTCCCCCCCCCCCTCAGTTCCACCGCGTTTTGCTATCTGCGTAATCGCTTTGGCTACAAAAAGTTCCCAGTAGGGAACTGAACAACATCCTTCACTCGAATATAGCGAACATTTAGATGGTGAGTGTTTGCATTAGGCCATTCGGTTTTTTCATAAGCACTAGGCACTGTTGCCGATGTTGGACATGGGTTTTACTCCTTGGGAGATCGTTACTTCCCCACTGTTTGAATGCATTTGAATGCGATGGAAATGTTCGTGATAACCAACAAAGAGCACTAGACAGCTGTTTCATCCTGTTTGGGACTCGTCAGTGGTGTGTACTTTTCGTGTCCCAGGCAGGACTCGAACCGCGATTCTTCGGCCTGGTACTCCAAACCCTTACCCTTGAGCTACACGGTCGACGGTTATCACCTTGTGCGAATGGCTCAATCAATTTAGATGGTGAACGTTTGGATTAGCCCATTCACGGCACCAGACACTGTTGATGATGTTGAGTGTCCGCGGTTTGAGTCCATGGACACAAAACGCACGCACTGCTGACGAGTCCCCAACCGGACGAAACAGCAATTCAGTACTCTTTGTTGGTTATCACAAACATTTCCATCGCCCTTAAATGCCTGTGTATGTTTGCTCAGATGTCTTGGACTTAACTGATTTTATACAAAATACGGATTATCAACACGTTAGGAGAAACGTAAAATATGGCTCCGAATGAAAAAGTGCGACTTAGCAGAATCGCTTCGGTGCAATATCAAGCGCCGCAAGGAAGTAAAAATGTATCGATGAAAATTTTGCACGCCATAGGTCAATATATCACAGCGGAACGATTCATACACGCACAACCGGTATTTGGAGCGATGGTTCGAGGATTTTAGTGAGCAAGTTTTATGCGACGAGTTGTCTGTGCGCAGCCCGTTAAAGTCCAATGCGAATTCGAACCATTCAAAACAAGAAAATGTTGCAAAGTCGAAACAAAACGTGTTTTAGTAGGTCAATATAAGACCTAAATTTGCTGGATCCAACCACATAACAAAAACTTCAAACTTCTAGAAATCTAAGCAATGGAAACTTGCTATTTTTCAACTGTTTTTTTTCGTTATACTTAATGTGAGTTGCAGTGAAGGGAGAATTATACATTGGCAAACAGCATACTGGAAAATGGAAAGTAGGGGAGTATCCATGTGGGATCAAGTTTATTGATTTTGCTTTTCAACAGTTTAAGCTTGTGCTTAGGGAAAGACAGAAAGTGGAACGGTGTTGCACAACTTGGCCATTTGGGGAAACAGAGAAGATTGGAGCCGAGGAGTAGAATATATGGGAACTGAAATCTGACAAGGATGACCAGATGCCTGTGTACAGGATGAGCGGGTAAAAATCGCAGGAAGAAAAATTGCCGAGACAAGTTGCGAGGAACAAAAACCAAATTAGTAACAGGGGTAATGAAGCCACTGATTGATGATTGACTAGTGACTGCAGACTGGATATTGGGGAAGGATCATCGATTAGCCGGATGGTCTTTCGTTAAACACGACCAAGAGGGGGGGGGAGAAAACGAAGCCCCATTCCACACGTGACTACTAGTATTCAAGAGCAGGGCGAATTTGGGTTTTGTACAATGGAAGAAGATGAGCTGGGGTGAAAAAAGTCTGATGGGAAATTTTAAAAAATCCAACCTTGCACTTAGCACGAGAAGCAAGCTGAGTTATAAAAGGATGACAGATGGATAAAGAAGAAGTTATGAGCAGTCCAAAAAGGCCAAAAAGGGAAAGAGAGTTTCTGCGAACAGTTGAGTGAAATCAAAAGATAACGGGGGAGGGGGTGGTGTTTTAAAGAAATCGAAAGAAGAGAGGTTTTAGGACTATTGAATGAAACCTAAGACCTAAGACAGATGAGAAAGATGGTTTTCCAAATGAATGAAGGAATGAAACGTGGTTTTTAATGCCCCAGGAGGAGATGTGTTCGCGATCGGAGTCCAGTGACACATCAACTGCACTACGGTCACCATGGTTGTTGATTTGGACATGGCGAGCAGTGGAGGGAGCAATGGAAGGTGGGGTCATCGGCAA